AAAATATCTTGCATGTGATTTCCAGTGTCAAGTGAACGATCCATCCTGTACAAACACATTTCAAACCATTTTTATATTAACACCATCTCAAAGATTATTCTAAAGTGTATGTAGGGATTTGGTTTACAATGAAGCAAGGCTTCAGTATGTCATTGAAATATACATCATATGAAGAGGCCAGTTTTGAGGATGAAACCTGTGAGTCACCTCTGAACCATTTCCACCATACCCACCAAAATGACACCACATCTCTTACATTCAGGACGATTTACTTTACTTTGACCATCTGCTTGTGATTGGAGATGAAGATGTTTATCCGGCCAGTGGAGAGACAGAAATCACATCTCTTCAAGAGCAATGGGTCGAGACAAAATACAGCTCCTCCTCCTCCACCTCCTCCTCCGCCAGTCTGCCACCCTGGCTGTGAAAGCCCTCAGCAACGCAGCAGGTACTGCATTTGTTGCATTTTCTGTAAACACTGCCACAGTTAGAGAGTCTGTGGTACAAATACTGTGTTCTGAGGTTGAAAAACTGGCTACTGGGCAACAAGTAGTGGGTTCTGGTGGTTTCAGTGCTGGGATACTAGTGCAAGAAAGTTTGAATATCTCCCTGCAGCTCCTTATCATCAAAGTATTTGTGTCTTCTTTCAAGGTTTTCAGAGCCTTATCTTCAGTCCCCGTTTAATATATTAAAGCCTTGAAAAACATTTCGATCAGCTCCTTACTGTGTGCCATGGGATCCCACATGAACACAACATTTCTGCCAAAATTAGATCAGTTTTGGCTATATATTTGTGTTTTTGTCTGTGCTTTTCTCACTGGTTTAAGGTGGGGAGAGCTCGGTTGAAAAAGATATCCCATACTTTCAGTTTTATTGATGATATTGTTTTTACAGATGCCTGATTTTTTATGATACTACACTTAGATATCAGAATGTTGTGCTTGTTTGTAAAAAGGGGTTGCAGAGTGGTTGCTAGTGTAAGCTTAGTTTGTCTTTAAATATCTTTATAAACACTATTACTACTTGAACTATCTGCTAAGATGTTAAATTGCATTTCGTTGTACTGGTACTTAGTGTGTGCAATGACAATAGTTTAATCTAATCTATTGTTAGGTGCTTAGGTATTAGGAACACTGGTGAGTAAATGCACTTTGGTGGTTAACAAAAAGGCAAAATTCCCTTGGCAGATTTCTGTTTCAGTGTGTGCAGCTGTATAAAGGCGAGGCAGGATGGGGCTGAAAGTGTGCGTGCTTAGCTGACTGTCACTGAATGATTAAGGGTAAGAAATATAGTGCAGTGCTGGTACCAGTGCATAGTGGGAGAGTGGAACTTAGGAGGGTGATGGTTAAGGCGCTTAATATGGTCCAGCTCAGTCGGGATCCAGAAGCCTTCCTGGGAGCAGCACTCCTTTACCTGCGTGTTTCTGTGCTTTATTGTATGTTACATAAAGAGTCTTAATAAGCTTCTTTATCAAATGTTTTGGTAAGCTGCTGTGAACGACCGGCCTGCTTACATCCATCCCATTTGCATAAAATAAAAAAGCTGCCATGTGTAAACCCACTGCTGTATTTTTTATGTGAGCAGAGATGTGGAGCTGTCCTTTAATCTTACTAAGTCGGGCTGACTCCAAACACAGCAGCCCTGTTTTCTACAGATGATTGCTGTCTTCCTGAGCCAGGCTTTGCTTATAACAACAGATGACACTGACATGTCAGAGAGCAGAAGTTTGACTGTGTGCTCTGCTGTTCTGAGCCAACTTTCACTGCTTTGCCAAACTGTGTAGATTTTATCTGCACAGTGTATTTTAATAGATATTAATAGAAGAGTTGTTATGCAATGTATGAACATAATGTTGCATTCACCAACGGCGTCACTGGAGAAGAGACACAGTTTACCATTTGGTGGTGGTTTTTACCCCTGATAATGCCCGACAGTGCAATAAGTGAGAGTACTATTATTAGCGCAGGTCACCCTGATGGAGCTGAGCCCCTCAGCCTGCCTGTGCCCTGCTCTGTGCAGTGAACTTCAAAGACCACAAGAATAAGGTTAAAAAATTCAGCGGCTGCTTTAAAATCAGTTTGGAATCCCGACTGAGAATGAGGCCAGTGTGAATGTGACAGTGTAGCGGGGTAGTAACATCCTCGGCTCTACGTGCAACTGTTTCCAAAGCTGCAGCCTGGCTTGAATAGCGGCCACCAGCCGCCTCCAAGCCGTGGGCCTCATCCTCGGCATTTACTGTCTCCCTTTTACCCTTTTCTGTGGCAAAAACTGCAAGACCTTTCTGTTGACATTTGTTATCCCTGGTGCTATCATGTGCTATCTAATTGGATGAAGAGGTAGACTGTGGGGCAGCCTCTGGCAGGAAGAGGAGGTGAGATACTTTACTGAAGTGAAGCTGTGATCTCCTGCCTCTGCTTGTCTCTACCTGTTAAGGTGTTTTGGCAGCGGCAGGTCTGTGCCTTTGTATGATACATGACAGTAGATTTGAGTTCAAAAGATGTGGGCATTGCCAAACAGGGGAAGTCTAAATGCAAGATGCTAGTGAGTTGCATTATGGGAAATGTAGGATCAGTGTTTTTGGAGCATGACCCACAGTAGAGACTAAAAGTCTCTCTCTCTGCTGTTTGGATTTTGATCATCCTCATTTCCCCCCAACTTTATGAAAGTCCAATATTATATTTTTGGACTACACCTTTAACTTCAAGTGACAGATCATATTAAAGGGTTTGGACAAAGAAGAGTTTAGTATGGAATGTCTATAAAATTGGGGGGGGGACTCACAAGAGACAGTTTTTAAAAAAGAGTGGTGAAGATTTTAATACTACACTTCCCATAATGCAACTCAATGGCATGTTGTACTCCCTGATGGCCTAATTAGGGCCATTTTCTGAGACTTGACAAAGTTGCTCCAGAGACATGGAAGACATTTTATAACCATTTTCACAGTCAAAGCAGTACTCCCCCCATGACTATTAAATCCACTTTGACATGTATAATTAGTGGAGTGCCCCTTTAACAATCATCTATCCTGCGTTTATACTTATTTCACAGCATGAGCACAACCCAGCCTTCTCTTTTTTTCCACTGAGCAGTTTAATAACAGGAGCAAGTGCGGGCTAAGTGTCTTGCTCAAGGGCACCTTGGCACTGGTTTTCCATGGAGGGTAGAGAAACATTTGGCCACATACACCACCCTGATGGTTTCAGGATTCAGACTGGACACCTTCTGATGCCAAGCCAATTTCTCTAACCCTTAAGGCCCTTTCACAGCAAACTGGGACTCCCTTTGGACATGAAAGCAGCGACTGTTGCTCATTTTGTACCTTTGATTACACCTTGTTTTGACGTCAGGTACCAGAACTGTGCTGAGGACAGCAGGAGGGCAGCAGGGGGCCATTGTCAACCGGCACAACAGTAAGTGGATTCTGCGTGCAAACAAAACAGTTAGAAATGGCCTTTATTAGCCTGATCCGACCTTCACATCTAACATCTCAACTGACAGAGTAGGGCTATGAACCCTGAAAATAAAGACGGAAAAATCTAATGCCAATGTCTACAACATTAATAACTCCTTGTCCCAGCAGACACAAATAGAAAGAACAGGCTGATCGCAGAGAATGGGTCGGGAACATCAGAATGCTCTTACCTAAGACAAATTATCGTAGCTATTCCACAGGAACATTAGCCTGCTATGATGGATATTTTCAGCATGAGTAAGAGGAAGCCAAGTTGATCAGAAAAGCTCTCTCTGCAGTCCCCCTCTGAGGTCACCACACAGGCGTAATTACACAGCTTCTCACGGCGCTCCTCTGTGGCCGGTGTGCAAATACTGCCATCTATTGTTAGACGATGAGAATCTGCCTGCTGCTGGAGCTCAACCGCTCACCTCTGGCAGGCCCACACAGTTCAGCATTAAGTGTGCACTCCACTAATGGCAGCGACATTTGGTGTTCAGTTTTCAGTGCTCTACAAGCAGTGTGTACTCATTAACTGCTGCAGCACTAAAAAACCAAAACACTTACACCTGCTACTCTAAGTTAATATGACAGATAAGCTCATAATCATTTTTCCTGGAAAACGTCCGGATATTGAATTTCTGACTGATGGCTGGTCAGATACTATGTAGCTGTGGTCCATTAGGTATAAAACCTTTAAGAATGGTTCTAAACTTTGACTCGTGAGTTTGAGAGAATTCTTAATTTGTATTAAGAATTCTTTGAAAATAGCTTTAGACACACCTTGACTGGGACAAGCCATCATGCATAGTATCCAATAAAAAAAAAGGGTCTGTCCGAGGTTTCTGCCTCTTAAAAGGCAGTTTTCCCTTGCCCTCAAGTGCTTGCTCATGGTGGTACTGTTGGGTCTCTGTAAATAATGTTATAAGGAGTTCGGTCTAGACCTGCTCTATTTGAAAAGTGTCCTGAGATAACTTCTGTCATGAATTGGCGCTATACAAATAAAACTGAATTGAATTGGATCCAATACCAAAATACTCCAATATATTGAGGCATTCCAGTGGAAATTATTCATATGAATCTAAAAGATGTTAGGACAGGATATTAACTATGTCCTACTACAACACCTATATCATGTTATACTGTTCACCACAGACATTTCAAATTGTTTCTCTTTTTTCGGAAACTGTTTTTCTCAACTTTCTCAGTACTGAGACAATGGAACTAAGCCATTGTTAATCTCATTAATTACACCTGTGCTTTTTTCTGCTGTGACAAGTCAAATTTTTTGTTGTGAAAACGCTCTACTGTTAACACTGGGTGGGAACACACTATGTACTAAAAACCTGCTTAGAATCAGCATGTAAAGAAAATGGGAAAAGGAACAATTAAATAAGAATATGAAGAACTTGAGCATGACATGGTATTAATGAAGCTGTGATTCAGCTCGTCACCTTACCTCACTGATCAGGACGTTTTGTAGATGGTGGCAGAGATGGCGCAGGTCAAATCTGAGGTTTCTGCTAACTTAACACCCACAATGCAGTTTGTGTGGAAAAACTATTTATTTATACAATTAAACACATAAATTGAGTGAAAGAACATTTTATGATATAAGACGACAGATACATTTCTGGGCCTCATAAATATTGTTCTGTAAGCCTGTGTCCCTGTTCTGTGTTCAAGTGTCACAGTTGGAGGACGATGCGCTCAACCTTCATCATGTACGCTGGTTTCAGGAAGCTCTGCAGTTCGCTTTTCTTCAGCCACAGAAAAGAAGCGTTTGGAGCTGCAGGGTGAGCTCTGTCTGACAGAATGGCTTTGAAGAAGAACACCTTTGTTCCCACCAAGCTCTCCGTCCTAACAGCTTTGGGCAGTTTGTACTTGTAGACTCCGCAGGGGGCGTTGCTGAGGAAAGTCGCCTTGAAATCAGCTGCTGTGGGAAGAGAACAGGTTGTGAGTTAATGGAGACAAAAGGTGAGCAAAAGTGCGGCTGTTCCTAAAATTTAATGCAGTCGTACAACTGTATAATTAAGCGTGGTATTACCCTCTAATGCTCTGTTTCTCATCCAATCTCATGTCATCTTAATCACATGCTCCCAGTTGGCTCGTAATGCAGAGTAAGGCAGCAACATGGCTATGTTAGAGATTCAATTCCCACGGACTCCAGCTTTATTAAAAATGGATCGCCTCGTGCCACTGCAAGACTCTTTAAATAAAACCCTCCACCAAATGACACACGTTAATGTCAAGTGGAAAGTCTTAATGGGGAGTGATTGATGGAGTTGGTACATTAATAGTTCATGAGCAGTGTTGTGAAACAGTTTAACATAGTCACTGGCGTTTTATTTAAAGAGCTTAAAGGCTTGATTTCCGTCGGATGCGGAGAGAAAAAGGAAGGAGAAAAAAAAGACAGTTTTACAGCCAATGTTAAATATCGGGTGTGAGAGATCATTACAGGGTCACTGGAACATTTGTTCCATGTTTTGCCAGCTGTGACCTCAAACTTCCTTCTTGTCATTAGCTTACTGTTGCTGATCCATGAGCTGAAAGCTTAATCAATCTACAGCTGACTGATCTGTGGAGGTGTAAGTGGATATGACAACTGCTACTGGAACATGCTTGGTAAAAAGCTGCATATAAACATGAATCCTTGCTTGGAGGTTTAAGGATGGTTTGACCCTCTTGTTGTAGTTAGCATGGAGGATTGTACTGAAAAGTACCACACAGCTATTTTCGATAAGATCACATTAAACTTAAATGATCCTGAGGATAAAACTGGGTCATTGCAGCAAAGGAGATTAGGATGTAGATCCAGTAATAAAGCAGCAAATGGAGCGTGTTGACAATAGCACAACCTATAAGAGTACCTTATATCCTGCCCTAAGCTATGGTTTTCAGGTTAATTGAAATACATTATAACCAATTTCCACATGCTCTCCTCACTCTTCAATATCCTGTTTGTTTCTCTTGCAGTTTACTTACACTTAATATTCTCCCAAAGAGATGCTAGAAATGACATAAGATAAGGCAGTAAAGACCACAAGTAACTTTTGTAGTAAAGATAAAAATGAACCATTATCTATCATAACACATCAGATCTCTATCAGTGCAACTAAATCTGACTTTAAGTAACATTAGTGCATTGATAATGGAGACAAGTAGCTTTTTTCTTGCAGCATGATAACCAATTTCATTATAATGAAACAGAAATGTATCTAAATACAGGAAAATGCATTCACAGTTTCAGTTTTGTCCTCCCTACTGCTGAAACCAACCCTACACCCAGAGATGTCATATTTTGCAATATTTATCAGTTGACATGGCCAGACTTTGGAGGGACTTGTTATATATATATATATATATATATATATTATCTTTATATTGTCTCTACTTCATCTTTATGTATATTTTTCTTCTTCTTTATTGTTATGCACCAATATACCCAGGCAAATTCCTTGTATGTGAAAACCTACTTGGCAATATAACTGATTCTGATTAAGACCTCGCCAATAATTAAACAACATACTTCATATTAGCTCGAAGTCATTAGTATTGATTACTGTCTTTCATGATGACAGGCATGGTCAGTTTGCTGAAAGATTCACACAAAATTGAGCTCTTATTAAAGCCCCTGTGTAGGATTTGAAAACTTCTACTTCAGTGACTCCTAATGGTTGACTAAAGGAAGCATCAGAATTAAAATGATTATAAATATGATATCGTAATCACATGCTGTAAACAATCTGCACATACGCATTTCTGATATCAGCCAGTGTTGTCTACTTGTCTGACATTTTATATAATTTAATGACAAAATTAATAGTTTTCATGGTTAGTTTAAAGGTCCAGTGTGTTACATTTAGGTGGCTCTGTGGAATATACTATATAATATAATAAGTAAAGAAAGAAAACATCTTTAGCAATGTGTTGACACATCAGCTTTTAAAATCAAATGCTGCAAATAAATAAAACACAGGCAAATTAAAGGTCCAATGTGTAATATTTACGAGGCTTTATTGGTAGAAATCATTTTCATCAGTGTGTAATCACCTGAAAATAAGAATCGTTGTGTTTTTGTTACCATAGAATGAGTCATTTATATCTACAGACGCCACCGCACACCTGGAGTCCTCCATGTTGAAGAACGGACAAACCAAACACTGGCTCTAGATAGGGTCAGTAGTTTCTCCTGCATGCTTAAAACGGGATGGTGAGGCGAGGTGGTTACAATCTGCAACTTTACCACTAGATGCCACTAAATCCTACACACTGGTTCTTTAACAGTAGGCCTCCATGCATTTAGGAGCTACATTATAACCCAAAATAACTGAAGAAATGGTTTGAGTGGAGCTTGAATTCTAATTTTGAGGCTATAAAAACAGTGAAAGATTGAATGTCAGCACAAAATATCAGCAGCTCCATTTAAACATGACTTGCATCAGCCAAACTCATGTTTATGTTACCTGGCAAGGAAGCGAGGGCTCTCTCGGCCGTCTGCCGCAGCGTCTCTCCCTCCTGCCACTGAGCCTGAGGCAGCAGCCACAGCTTCTCACCGGCGACCTGCTGCTCAGCCAGAAGAGTCAGCGAGTTGGCCAGGCAGCGCTCCAGTGAGGTCAGGTCCTTATCTACATCATCTAAACAAGAGACGGAACCGTCAGCCGCTCCACAACAGCTACGTCTCTCTGTGACTGTCGTGCAAAATCTACATAAACTTTAGAAATGTCACAGGGAATAAAATCAAATTGGGAGTGCTGGAGCGAACAGATTTTCTGAATGTCAGAAAAACATCAGAATCCCGCACTGGAAGTAATTTAAGTCTCTTTGCTTACTGATAATTTTCTTTTAAACCAACATCTACAAGACGCCTTCAGATGATCTCATTTTCTTTTCTAGTCTGTTTTACTTGACTAGAGATTGCAGCAAGACAAAAGCCTGAATGCTAGAATGTATTTCATTAGGCACATTTACAATATTTATGTATATTTTCATGCAGTCCATATGCTGATTTATTTGTTCACTCACTGGTCAAACATTTTGTCCAGTTCCCATACTGACCTATGACCCTCGGCGCTGGCTGGAAGTCTTTCAGCTTCTGCTCCCACATGTCTTCCAGGTCCTGAGCCAACAAGATATCCTGGTCCTTGTGGTTGTCCTCTTCGTCTGAGTCATAGTCGCCCGCCTGCTTGCGACTCAGTCTCTCAGCGTCCTGCAGCAGACGCAGCTCGTGCTCTGACAGCAAGCTTTTCTCCAGCTCCACCTGAAATGAAGTGAGAGCAGGTTTTCGTCTCAAACTCCAGGACTCTTTGCAGACCGCCATTTATTGAACTGAAATTATTGCCATTAGTGACATTTGATGATTGTGATGGAACAATGTGACTTCATATCCTTCTGTAGCTTCACATTATGCTACAGCTGATGTCACAACACCAGAAATATCAGCTACAGCTGCATAAGATGTGCACAAAGACAAAAATGACAATCCTAAATGACACATACATGGTACTTGTGCAACAGTACAACTATGAACTGCATGCTAATATGAAGTTTTCAAATAAAAGTAATTTGTTTTAGATCTCAATTTGGAACAGACTGTTACTGATTTATTTATTACAATATTTTATTTCAGGATATGATTCTAATAAAAATGATAAATGATGTCAAATAATAACGAATATTACTGCCTAACCAAACAAACAAACTACATGTACTCTATTAATCTAGTAATCTTAGGTGGATTAAACACAATATACTAAATTGAAGATCCTCTCCAAGTAATTAGAAGAGTTTTAAATTACATAATTTGACTAGTTATGACTAATAAACAACACGCAATGCCAAGAACTCCTGAAATCAGGTGTTACACTTAATCCTGTGAGCCATCAAATCGGATTATATTTTCCCACTGCCTATGTTTCTGTCATGGGCGCATACTGTATTTTCATGACAACAGGCCGATAAGAAACCAGGTGCTTCCCATGTTCCTGCACTGTTACAGGTCTGTCTGTAGAGCACTTCATCTGACAACCCCTCAACCCTCAGAGTCACGTGGTACGGGGCACAGATTGTTTTCGGGGTAACACCGGCCATAAGGGGGCAGGGGATGTGGGCTAGTTTACCTTAAATTGGACGACGTAAAGCCAACCTGTTTCGCCTTTCTCTCCATCCTCGCTTCCACCAGTTTCATGCTGAATAAACGCACCTGCTGAATCATGTCTCTGAAGAGCTGCTCCATCGGGGTGTAATCCGCTGTGATGACCGGCAGCCGCTGCAGACACACCGCTGCCGTTAAAGACCACGGAGAACGCGCTCTTTCTGGCACACTTTTGGTCTCCAAAGTCGCCCGACGAACAGAAGAGCAGGAGAACGGACGGAAGCCCGTGTTCCCGACCGCTGTCCTGCTAAAACAGGAGATAAACTGTACGAGAGACCGACTCGCCATCCGTCTACAAGGCGCAGCCATCTTCTTCTGAGACATTCAATGTATGCGCAAAGAAAATCGTGACGCTGGCTACTAGTCGTGAAAACCGCCTGGAATTGTGATTTTCACCCCTTAATCCCTCGGTGATAACAGAGTGCAGTTAAAAAACATTATTCGTGGCCTTATGTAAAGCGTTGAAGTTTTCAAAGTATGGCGGAGTTGTTGTTGCTCGAGGGCTTCCAGCGAGTGTTCACCAGGATCATTTCTTATTTACGAGGTTTTACGAAGTCGTGAAGGCAGCATGTTTCTTCAAAGTCTACCCACAATGCTGTGCAGAAAAACGAACGGTCTATTCAGCTACAAATGGGGGAGGATGATATTAATGTACTTATATATAAAATATATAGATCACTGTGCGTACTAGATAAATATATTCCTGTATTTATTTAAGTAACACTCAATACAATTCGTTCAATTATACAGGTTAAGATTGCATTTGTAATTTCTAATATAATGTTGTTGTGACCTAGCCACCCCTAAAATATATACTATATACTGTTGGTGTGGTCCTGGTTTTCAATGTCACGCTTGTTGTGTGTCAAACTGCTAACTGTTTGACATCGAGGTTGTTTTTAAACATATCAAACATGTATAAATTAAATTGTTTATTAGGTAGTTCTGTGACTAACGTACGCCGACAGCTTGCCACCTCTCTAAACCCAAACGGGAGCTCTCTGTAAGTGTGTTATTGGTATGGTTTACTACGGTAGCATCCTTGTTAGCTAACGGCTAGTTCTGATGGAGTCGGTCTTATAAATATATAAAGCAGAATATGTCTTATAGCTACTATATGAGGCCTATTGACTGTGTGTCTGTGTGTGTGTCTGTCTGTGTGTGTGTCTGTCTGTGTGTGTGTCTGTCTGTGTGTGTGTGTGTGTCTCTGTCTGTCTGTGTGTGTCTGTGTCTGTCTGTCTGTCTGTGTGTGTGTGTGTGTGTGTGTGTCTGTGTGTGTGTGTGTGTCTGTGTGTGTGTGTCTGTCTGTGTGTGTGTGTGTGTCTGTGTGTGTGTGTCTGTGTGTGTCTGTGTCTGTCTGTGTGTCTGTGTGTGTGTGTGTCTGTGTGTGTGTGTGTGTGTGTGTGTGTGTGTTTCTGTGTGTGTGTGTGTATGTGTGTGTGTGTGTGTGTCTGTGTGTGTGTGTGTGTGTGTATATAGATGCAGTGGGTTGCAGCGAACATTATGTACCACCACAGACGCCGGGGAACCCTTCTTCAGGTCAGACAGCTCCACACACCTGGACTCTGGTTTCTGGATTACTGCTAGTATTTTCGCTTTAACTTGTGTGTGTGTGTTTGTTCACTGAATAGAAGCACAACTCGCTGCAGTATTAACCCTGGTTGTAATCCCTCAGCGTCTATCCTCCACTGCCTGGTGAAGACACTTCACAGAGATGGGGCGGGAAGGCGTTTGATGAGTTACCAATCATTCATGTTAAAGCCACATACAACAAGTAAGGAGCAGCTGCCATTAAAGCTACATATTGTTATAATAAGTACTCATCTGTTGTCCTCACTCTATGATAATATTGGTAATATTCTTATCTTGAAACCTCGCCTGTTTCCACGAGGGTTACATTTACATTAATAGATAATGTTTTAGGTTAGTTCAGTGGATCCTAAACGGGATCAGTGGGTGTCAACACAAAATATAAACTTTATTTTTATTTTATTTTACCACCGTCAAATTTTTGCAAAGTGTTTCCTAGTGGACGGAATAAATAAAGAAATAAGTTTTGTACTTTCACACCTCAGAAAAAGTATTTAGCGCTAACTAGACAATACATGACAAGGTACCAAATATGAAATACACAGTAAAATCTCTACATTTAATTTTTGTAATTAATAGTAATTAAATTTACCGTATTGAAACATAAAAAAAAATGTCTTGTGGACTGTTCTGGGTGTTGGGTTTAGTACAAAGTGATTTGGTGGACAGGATTTTTTCAGCTGTGCGACATATTAGGTGTTGTGATGTGAGTCAAACCAGTTGTGGGGGAATATATAACTCGTCATCAGCTTGACAGTGTGTGATAAACATATTTCTAACGCCCATCAGTTGTGAGCTGGTGACGCACTAACTGTCCTGTCCTGTTCTGTTCCAGCACACACATCCAGCTGACGGACAGTGAGGGACAGTCGATAGTCAGGACGTCCTGTGGGACCGAAGGCTTCAAGAATTGCAAGAAGTCAACGCCCATCGCCGCTCAGAGTACAGGCATGGCCGCTGCTGTGGTAAGTTCTCACATGTTACTGTGGCCCCTGCTGTGAGAGATCAGGTTCTCTCTAACGGCTGGGCCACCTTGTTACCTAAGCAGGACGGGCATTTGTTTAAAATAAATGAGTATTAGTAAAGGCCAAATCCTGCTTCTACACTCTGTGTACCAACGTGTAATATATGGATGTTAAGTGTTTGTTGTAAATAAGCTGCCCTCTCTAAGGACTGTGACAGAGTGCAGCAGTTGCTGTTAAGTGCTCATTTAGACTTTATATTAGGCTGATTTATGAAGACTGCTGGCTAACAGGGTTGAGGTCACACTGATTTGCAGTAAACACTCTGGAGAGATGAAGTGTTTTTATCATAGTGCTACTATAGTCTTTTATCATTATTCTGAGCTCTGGTCGGCTGTTGTAGAGCTGAAAATAGCAGCTTCATCTCTTGTTTTGTTCGTGATTGAACGGCCAGATGGAATCTCAAAAAATGTCATGCTTGTCAACCACTTTGTCAAATTATTCTGTTCTACAGACAATTAAGCATGGCTGCAATTATTAATAGTTTTCATTATCTATTGATCTGTTTTCTCAATTAACCAATCAATCACTTTGCCTAGAAAATGTCTCTGACACAAAATCACAAATCTGACTGAGAGTCCAAAGCAAATCCACACAAGCAAAGCGTGTTTGACACTCATCCACTTGTCATTTTTGTGTCACGATTTAACACAATCAACCTGTCACTGTATTCCCAGTCTACTCTAAACTGTCCTGTGTAAGAGTTCTCAAAATTTAATTAAATCTTCATGAATGTCTTGCCATTTGCCATTTGCTTGCCAACGTTATGTCTTAATAGTGTTCATACAGTGTAGTGAAGTTGGAAAAAACACTATATAATCTTTTAACCTCCATGGTTTTAGGACCATGATTTGACATCTCTGCACATTTTTGCTACAGGAACAAAGTTTCATTGGCCTTTACCCCTTGCATCATTCAGTTCTCCTAATTCTACCAAATGAAACTTGCACTTCAGACTGTGTGTGTGTGTGTGTGTGTGTGTGTCTTCCTCTAAACAGAAAGCAAAGGCAAAAGGAGTGGAATTTGTCCGGGTTTTAGTCAAAGGTCTTGGTCCCGGACGTCTGGTGAGTACAAGAAGAAAATGTGTTTCTGTTGTGCATTATTGCCCTGGTACTCCATCGCAGTGTATCTGTAGGCATCCCAAAAGTCTTACATTATTGTAAATCTTATTATTGAAACATTATAAATCAAATCTCGCAGCTTGTTGCTATACTGTGTTCATAACTTTGTATTTAATGTTTTACTCTCTGTCAGAAAATAGTAAAAAAAAAAAAAAGGGCTCAAGGTGACAAAGCTTGTTTTATCCATCAACAGTCCAAAACACAAAGATTCTCAATTAATACTGATATAAAACAGAAGAAAGCAGCAAATCATCACATCTGAGCTGGGACCAGCAAATGACTAACAATTATTCAGTTGTCAAAACTAAAACCAGCACACTCTTTTCATGAGCAAAAGTGGCCTCATATTTCAAAGTTACAGGCTAGCATATGGAAGTTTAGAAAGTACAGAGGGGCACAATAGCATCAAAAGAAACTACTACTGACCCTGTTCTTTCTCGGTGTAACAGTGGGAGTGCAACCCGTAAACCTGTAAACTGAAACCTAATACATTTCAGTGTTTTTATAATGAGGATCATTTAAGGCCGTTTAAGGAGGCACAGACATGTTGATCTGTTCTCAGCAGCGTTGTTAATGAATTAATGTATTTTTCTCCGCGGGGCAGCCAGCGATCAAAGGCTTGGCGATGGCAGGCCTGAATGTGGTATCGATCACTGACAACACCCCCGTGCCACACAATGGATGCCGCCCACGAAAGGCCAGAAGGATGTGACCTCCGCGAACCAGAATCCACTGCAACAGGAGGAAGCTGTTGTGTTGTTGTATGCTAATAAAGTGTTTTGTTGCGTAACTTTCCTGGCTCTGAGCTGACCTTTCATTATTCATTTATGGAAATAATTGCAGATGGTGTTATTAATGAGCAGAAAGCAGGTGTCTCGGTCCTCTGCTGCGACTGTTGACACATGAATAAATCTTCAGTCTCACTGCAGGCACTCTGATGTGAGGGAGAGAAACAGGTTTCAAAGCTTTAATGCTGCACATGTCTTTTATTTGGACCCAGCTGGTAGCAATGGAGAATGGAACCCTTGGACCTGGATGTGTTAGTCTCACCACATCACACATACCTGAAGTGAACAGATGAAGCAAATTCAACCTTCTTGTATGAACAAAGTTCTCTTTATATTTTACCTTTTAAGTACATTAGACAGCCAAACATCTGTTTAACATGATATAATACACTGTAAAGCTCTGAAGAAAAAGCTGGCATTTACAGTCAAGTGTTAAAATGGAAACATTAAATGAGACAAACATGCACCGAACCATTGTCCAGTGGTGTGGAGTGTCACTGTTTGGAGTAAATAACACTACCACCTCACCCACAAGTAATCATTACAATAGACTTTTCAACACAGATGTTTAGCTTTAGCCATTGACTGTTTTTTTTTTTGCCTTCAACCTTTTAGATGATATGCTTGATATTCAGCTATAGTGTTTCCAGAGACCACCTCAGATTGTCTTTAACCTTTGAAATACAAGAAAACTCCCAAATTCCAAATCCCTCGAATGCCATTGAAACCATGTGACCACATACAGTAAGAAACAAAACAGCAGGATGCCCTTATTTAGTGCAAATACTCACAAGGCCAGTCCCCCTTCACTCATTCGCTCAACATTTTAGTCTGACGGTGGGAAAAACCAAGCTGAAATGACCCAAAGTGGTCAAGTGATCAGTGTCAACACAACACAGGAATTTGTTTCAGTCACCTTCACACAGAATCCACAGATGTCCTCACAGCTACACCATTAATTATTAACGGGGCCTCAATTATACAATACTGGTATGAGAAGACTCTTTAGTAATGATACAACTAAAATGTGTTAGCTTCTTGTATAAATGAGACCCTTTAAGTTTATCACATAAAGCCAAAGCAGAGTGCCACTGCTACTACAGTACCAGGAGATACAAAGTGATGATTCAGTGCTCTCACATGCAAATGCTTATTTTTATATTAACAACATAACACAAAGCGATATTAGCCCTTAATAATCAAACTTTTGTTTGCAATTGTAAATACTTTAATTTGCTTCAGCAGCCCTCAAACAGATTCAACTGGTGCTGACAATCCCCTGCTCTTGACATCATGAGGATTTTCCAACCATAGGAATAACAGGTTTAGACAAGGAGTTGGAGATACACTGTAAATAAATCATAATTCAAAAACGTGTATGCCTGGAGTAAATCTGTCTCATAAAAAGGCCTGTCAAACACCGGGAGTTACTGCAGTGAGTTCCCTGCTGTCTATCCTTTTGCCTTTTCTACTCAAGCGTCACTTAACATTTCTAAATGCTGGAAACTGTAGAACAATCTGCATCCATGTAGTACAACTCTGACTGCAATCAATATTAAACAAACTAATTTGAACGTGACAATATCAGGAAACCCTACTAGATTATGTATCTTCACTCAGCAGCAAAGTATTACAGTATAGCAAGGGGACAACATCATATCTATATTCTTTATGCCTTATTTAGATGTCTGTGCACCTAAAGATTATGGAAGGAAGGTAAGTGACTGCCGTGGGTTTCAATTGATCATTTAGTCAGTTGAGCGAGCTTTAAGGTTCCCAGCTGGTCAACAAGCAGTTTGGTGCAGAACAACAAATACAGTGTTGACTTGATGAATTCAACTTTCAACTGCCACTTTATCTGTACATCGACAACATCCCTACCAGCTGCAGGCCTGCTGCTCCGTAGTTCTCCCTGACTTTCAACCTCTGAAGAGGTCCCTTTAAAGACATACATAAATGTACATGTAGGTAAACATGAAGCTGCTGCTGACAAATTATATTTACATTTACATTTACACAATAAGACAGGAAAAGCATCTGAAATAATGCACAATCAGAAGGACAACCGCAAGAATGAAGTAATTTATAGATGATTCATACAGCTGATTGAACCTAAAACTGATTGACTAGAAAAAATGTCCAGTACTGAAAATAGAGATTTTATACACACTAACTATACAAAAATACATCGCTTTATTTCAAATCACAATGAAGTCCTTCTTTTACACAAACATCGTAACTCTGGATCAGGCAAATCTCATCACCGACGTAAGATATTGTGAACTCTGGGAGTACAGCTCCAGTCGCAGCTTTCCCATTTTGCCTTCCCTCATCTGCAGTGCACCTAACAACAGCCACACATTCAGCGACACATCAGCAAAACAAAACTCAATCATCAAAAGAGCGACGCTGCTTTAAAACGAAACATAAATAACAGGTCGGATTATATTACCGTCAGTACATTACCACAAGCTCGACACACAGCAGAAAAACACCAGAACAGTTGAGAGTTGATGATAAAGACATTACCAAGAGAAAAAAGGTCATTTTGCCTGGGGAGCCTTTTCAACACGACTGGAAGAAGAGTAATGGGCGGCACACAAAACAACAGTTTACTCATCAGGCTTCCTGATTTTTTGCCATGGCTTTTCCAGGCCTTTTTTCCCCTGTCCAAGAAGAATATTTAATGAAGGGATCAGCCTTCATTGTTAAGGATAATGTAGTGGACAGTGTAAAGTATTCAAATTAGACCACATCACATCACTCATATTCTTTACAGCAGCAAATTTACATTTTGTTTGACGGTGAAGTCAACAACTACATTGACTGTGTAGGCATTTGCGCATCAGCATTGGATGACATTTCTTTCAGACTCTTCCAGACAGTGCAGTGTCAAAACATTACAGCGACTGGAACACTAGTGGAGAAGATTTGGCTGTCAAAATCCCTTCTGGATGGGTTAAAGTGAACAAAGTGAAAGAGTCCTCAACCTCAACACATATTGTTGATGTTGCCTTGGCAAAGGCACTTAACCGCAGACTGCCCCAGTAAACCAGAGACTGTGTGGAGTGCACTGTGTTTGAGTGTGAGGGCTGAAAACTGCAGAATCTGATGACACAGGAGCTCCGTATTGGATACAGCTCAAGCATTTGGTGAGTCTTAAATATTGCACTTTGAAAGAGGGAGACGCAACGTGGAAGTTAAATATTAGAGGGATAAGGAGTGATTGTGCATACAGCCCTCGGGTTAGGAGCTAGAAAAGGGACGATAGGTTGGCACTGCGGGGTAAGTGCAGGAGTGAATTTGGTGAACTGGAGGACACACAGAAGCCCCTACTGAGACAAGTAAGAGGCCTTTCATTACTCCACATCACTTCCCATGGAGGTTGCTGAGCTCAATGTCCTCCTTGCGGCGTTTCTGTTGGGTGAAGAGGGAGCTGAAGGGGTAGAGTTTGGCTTTGGCTGGGTAGCGCTGGCCAGCAATGTCCACCTCGTAGTCCCCACGGTTGATGAAGTCCGGGGTGATGGGTGTGGGGAGCCCTTCTGGGCCAGGCGGTGGAGATACAAAGCCAAGGCAGACGTGGCGCTCCAGAGTGTAGCTGTAAGCGCTGCTGGTGGTTGTTCCGGCTAGCTGACCGTTACAGTAGATGGGCTCGCCCCACCACGGCCACAGGTCCAGCTCAGTGTCATGGTCCTCCAGAACAAGCATGACAAACCGCCGAGACACACCGTCCTGACGCTGCTGCAGCAAGGCCTCACGACCAAGGAAATCTGTGTCCTGATGGAGGCATAGAGAGGAGTCAGGAGAGAAGGGGGGTGTAGCAGCAAATAGGAGAAATAGAAGAAGGAAAGAGGAATAAATAGAGTGCAAAGAGATAAAGGACAGAGTGTCCTACAAACATGAAAAATCTACAAACACTGTACAGCTCTGTTAGGAGTAACAGGGAACAACTTTTCATTTCATACATTTCTCCAATAACAGACTTCACCGTTAAGCCGTATATTCAGCTGACGACTACTCATCTGAAGGCAATCTGTGAAACCAATATTACACTAAGGTCCATTCATTATACTGTGCTGACATTATTACTGTGGGCAGCAGACAACACAACTGTGTTCCACAGTTTTCAAAATGAGAGAGATGAACTTTAACACTGCTGTTGTGAAGCGCCACCTGTGGTGCCTGCAGGTGCAGCTTGGTGACAATTTTTCCTCTACATCCCAGCAAAGACTGTAACACGGATGTTTAGCAAAGCAGATGACATAGCACCTTTTATTATTGTGCAATTATTCTCTCCTCTTCTAACCATTTTAAGGTAAAAAAAAGTGAGAGTAAAGTGTTAAATTTAAAGCGAGCGCTTCAACTTCATGTAAGTCAAAATCATTCCGTAATAATGTAATAAGACAGAAACACAATGCATTAGTACTCAGTCAGTATATTATTATCTCCTCTCCACAAGAAAGCAGCAGTCATGATCCACACTGATGTCACAGTTTGATGAGGTTACACAGCTGAACTTGCAACAAACCTTGTCAAACTTAACCCTGAACTCTCGTCCACACTCCAGCGGGGTGGTGAAGGTGTCCAGGTCCTGACCCCAGAAGGCAAAGAATTTCTCTATGCGTAGGCTGCGCAGTGCGTAGTACCCTGCATTACGAATCCCGTACTTCTGACCCACTGATATTACCTCGTTGTACACGTGCAGAGCATACTGTGAAGATCAGAGGAAAATACTAATGTTAGTCGTGATGTACTGTACAGTGTAGCACTTTCTAAAACCTGACTTTACCATCCATCCTCTGGAATGGTGACTAGATACATGTTTTTTGTGTGTGTGAAGATGTGAGCAGGTCTAACCTCTATAGGTATGTAGAGCATGAAACCTGGTTCGCCAGTGTGAGTCATACTCATCACTCTGATCCCGTTGGCATAGCCAACACTCATCTCCTGTAAACAGATACACACGGTCAATAACCAATAACCAAGTATAAACAGTTGCTTATGCTACTGTTAACAACACAGGTGCAACCTAACATACTGCTCCTGCTGCTACTACTGCATGTATTTCAATAATTTATATTACCATATTACCTATAATTATTATTAGTCTGTCAATATTATTGCAACTAGACTTTGTTTCCTACCTTACAGAACATGGAGGGGAAGTGGTCAGGTGTCATGGAAACATACGACAGCTCAGCCAGAACGTCCATTGCACGAGGTCCAATCAGATTTAAAGCTGTAGGTAAAGGATCAGAGTTATTAACACTTTAGGCCTTCTGATGAACAAAGTTCAACCAGGTCAGATACTTTCACCCCGAAGGTTTCCCGACTCAGTTCACAGTTAGTGTTAATATAATAATTTATATAACTTTGTAGGAAATGAAAATCAATTGTAGTATTTGGACCATTAGCGTTGGGACATACTGAACAATGTCATGGGTACGTTTTGGGACATAAATCTTCAGTTTGTGTTTAAATTGTAAACACAAAATAGAATGATGATCTAGTGTTGCTCACACTTGAGACAGTTGGTAATTACATTCCAAATACAAATTATATTTTGGAAATGTAATTAACCACTCTCTTGGTCCCCTAGTCCCTAATTTGCCAACAACAAACCCAAAATGAGGTCACTTAAATAACTGGGTTAAGAGAGGATGGTGTCTGTGGGATACTGGTACTTTGCTTTCACCCTTTAATATCATGTGGGCACTAGATGGCGACGTCACTGTAAGACAGTGTGCTTACCAGTGTACTTCCAGCTGACATCCTCTAGGTGAAGGTGTGGGTCATTGGGCATGTGTTTCTTTATCCAGGACCAACAGTGGACCTGCTGGTCTGATGGAGACACGATGAAGAAGCTGGAGAGGGAACAAGTATGTGAGGTCTTTTAAACGGTCATGGTCAGCTGTATGTCTTTAGTATTATTTCCTAGATGTCACAAACCTGTTCTTGCTGAGGCGGACCACGCTGCAGTCATTCTCATAGCCTCCCCTCTCATTCAGCATGCCGGTGTGGACAATATGTCCAACAGGAACATCGAGGTCGTTGGCACACAGATGTTGCAGCAGGTCCAGGGCCTGGTCCTTCGTTGACTGGAACATCAGGACAGACCAGAAGGTTCAACTTAAATCACTTTAACACTGTGGATCCATTATTCATTGATTGAACTTCACTTGTTTAAAAAGACATAATACATTACTGCTGCATCAGTGGCTCCCAGTTGGGAAAGAACTGCATAATGTGCCAAATTAAAAACAGTTTGTAATATTCTGGCACAGCTGAACTCAACACACACATGCTGACTCACTGGGTGTGACCAGATGAGCAATGTAAGTTTAGAAGTCTCTACCCACAGAGGAAAGGGCAGCAGCAGTTTTCTGTCCTACGTGATGCGGTGCTGATTAACCCATATAAGTTGTCCATAGTGCATATTGCAAGACTTACAGTCAGTTCAAACTTGGTGAAGGACGACATATCAATGACACAGACGGCCTCTTTGCAGCATTTGACCTCTGCTCCAACAATGTCAAACCAGTCCGGTTTGTAGAACGTCTTACTCTGGTCCAGAGACAGAAGATCTACACATACATAAGCAACCAGAGATACCATGGTGTGCCATTAAGCAATGAGAATATACAACCAAACTCCACCAAGTGATTTTACTCATTAAGCTGCATTATAGGCTACAATTTACAACGCCTGATTATCTTCTATGAAATACAAAATAGTGATACAGTGATACTTCCTGCCCTAGACTTGCCACATTCAATCATAGTTCATCACAGGAATATTATTATCAAACATACCTAGATTAAGGAATGCGTTTTTATAAAAGGGATTCTCAGTCATGTGACATCAGCATCGTCAAATTAAAGGATTTCCCTGACATTAACTGCACTTGAATACCCTGTTCTTAATCATTTAGATACTGAAGTTTGAAGACTTCAAGATAAAGAGAATGTAGCATGTTGCTGATGAGTGATCTGTACCTTTCCCTGGAGGAACAAAGTATTTGGGCCTTTCAAAACCATGTTTCTCCATCCAGCGAGCTCCCTGGGTGTCCAGACGGTCATACAGAGGGCTGGTCCGCAGCTGACGCCCGGTCTGGAAGTCCCAGCGAGGAACCTTTAGTTCGTACAGCAGAGCTGGACACAAGCACACACAGACACATTGGAGGCACAGACCTAATCATACCAAAAGCAGAACTGACCTTTAAGATGTCTTATTCTATAGTAAGAATTTGTAACTTATCAGATGTTAATGGTGGTGGTGCTGCTGCTGCTTGTCTTGTCTTGCCTTGCTTATTATCTTTAGCTCAACTTTAGAGTGCATTTTTTGCCAGCATGGACATGAGGAACAATTACAACGACTAATAACTCCTGTACATGTACATACAGGCATGTGAGGATTGTTTGAAGATGCATATATATATATATATACTGTAACAAGAGGTCACTACTTACGCATGACTTCCATTACTCTGTGTCGCAGGAAGGTTCGGCTGCTCTGCAGGTTTCCAAAGCGTTTGATGTCCAGTGCCCAGACATTGGCAGTAGGGTAGCCATAAGTCATCCACTCTGCCAAGTACCTGTATACCAAAGCACACAACATGCCATTTGTCTCATTGTGATGCACTCAAGGCACATTCTGATCACAATGCTGACCACTGACATTAATAAACTGAGGTTAAATTAAGAGATGTTCAGTAACCCCCCTAAATAATGTATCCAGATGTAAAATGTAGTGAACTATAGTCTTCAAAACCATTTGCTTACTTGCCAGCTCCTCCAGCAAAGGCCAAGCCAGAGGAGTTCATCCCTGCCAGCACGTAGTAGCCAGAGACACCCGGCGTCTCCCCCATCAGGCAGCGCATATCAGGGGTGAAGGACTCCGGACAGTTGACCAACTGATGGATCTCAGCTGACTCAAGACCTGGCATTCTCCTCAACAAGGCACTCAGCATTGGTTCTGGAGGTAGAAGAAAATAAAGTTGCTAAATAATCTCGATTAAGAAATTGTAAAAAAATAGGTCCCATGTCTACATTAATATACGGCATTGTCAAATCAGTAATGCCAGGGTTTCCCGCAGCACTTTGCAGCTAAGGCAATATGAGCGATATCCGCCGTGTTAGTCTATCCTGTTTTCTCCCTTTCATTCCAAACCGCATTGCGTTTACACATGGTTGTCTTATAGCTATACGTTTGATGATTGCACGTGATTTTCTCTCGCATTGTACACAGCCAAATGGACAGAAAAACGCAACCAAAAATTGCGGGCTTCTTCTTCTCCTTCGTACATTTCCTGCGGGAAACCCTGAATGCTTTCATTCAATTAACTTAAAATACAATGGGAAATACAACAACTGCTGTTTTAAAGCTGTCAGCTGTACTGGCAGTATTTGTCAACATTTCCAAAAATGAGGCTGCCAATTGTCTTCCTGCCTCTATATTGCCTTTCAAATCACTGAAAAACATGAATAAACAAAACACGAGTTTGCTCTAAGTGCCTTTGCCCAACCACCACTTGACCTAAACCATCTACTACTATGCAAGACTACATACTACAGCTGCTGCTATCCAGCACAAACTGCATTCATTCCACATGTTGTGCTATAAACAGTCCAGCAGGTTTTTCCAACATGAAGGTGGACCCAGAGGCAACAACTTTAAATGTGACAGTACAACGTAAAAATCCATTGCAAGTAAAAGCAGGAAAATGTGATTGCTATCAATAAGTGATTGCAACACATAAGACCCTCAACACATAAGATTGCAGACTTGTGATCCAACATCATAAAAGGGCAAACTTCACTGGAGACTTCACTGTTTTCTAGTTAATACTGTACTGAAGCTATCATTCATACCTTTAAGCAGTATAATAACAATTCTTGATAGGGGGTGGAGCTGGTGTACCAGTATATTTCATGCATATATATTCATGAGACACACTCTAAAAATACAATATGCAAACATTAAGTCAAGTGAAAACTAACTATAGGTACAGCTGCTGAACAAGTGGTGGCAGTTTGACTGTGTGCCCTGTGCAGTTCAGGGTTGGCTGGTGATACAGTGCTGCCTTTATGACAGCCTGTCACGCTGCATGAGGAATCTCAGATTACTAGCATAGGGCCAAGGCCAAAAGACAGGTGTATGTGTTTACATGTGTATAGAGAGGTGTACTTTGAACTGACACTGCTTACAGTTAAAGTACAATTAATGGAATGAAATAAACATTTCAGAAGCCTACCTGCACTAAAATTACTTTAATTAATGAAAGACACTTTAAATAATAATAAACTGGACACCTTAATTTTAGCCTCACCAAAAAATCACCAAACCAAAGTCATTACCAAAGTGGTCCCAGTCCTCCTGCATGTTCTGGATCTCCAGCTGGTTGCGGCCCTCTGTGAAGATGGGTTTGGGGTTCTTCTCAAAGCCCCCTGAAAGAAGGCCTCCCTGCCATGGCCGTGCATATATCCTGCCATCCATATCGATCACCACTGGAGACAAGACACAGGCTCAGTTAGATCACCTCCTCTATGCTCGATGGTAGCCAACCTGTTACCTCAAGTAAAAGAAATTAAGATGCAGAAAAAGTGAACTTGAATGGTAAATAATGATTTTCATTTTCCATGTTTCTCTATATTATCAATGAGACATTGAATTCAACAATAAATTAGGCACACCTTCTCTACTATCTCTCTCTCTCTAGCTCTCACACACTCATTCAACCTGCAGAGTCACAAGAATCAAGGGAAGTTAAGTTCTAAGGTATATATATTTATTTAAATGTTCCATCCCAGTCTATACATACATTTAACATTATTAGCATTGACATATGCTCCACTGTAATGATTGAGAAAATACTAATTAAATAGAGGTGTTGGCTCTAAATGTTTAAATGTAAAAATGGGACTATAATGGCATATAATCACAGTCTTCACCACATGTCACTGTCAGCTTCAAGAAATGACTAGGGGACAGGCTAGGAGATGATTATAATAATATACTGTGCAAGGAGTTACACTATTTTCCCAAAATGTGGAGGATCCTCTCTATTACAGAGATCATACTTAGCACGTAAAATCCATTAGCGAGTGTGCCTGCAGTAAGAAAAAGTAAATTTTCCTGTGTGTTTGCTGTGTGTGAGACCTGGTGTGCTGGGTGGAAGTGGCTCCTGGAGAGGTTTGGTGAGAAGGTAGAAGTGTTCACAGCCATGAAGAGGAACAGACACCTTCATCTCACTAGCCTGGCCCAGCTCATAAGCCCACTAGAGCAAGAGACAGACAGAACAAATATCTCACACATCTGTTGCTCTGAACACAGGTAAATTGACTGTGCCAACCTACCAAATAAGATTAGCTATTTACAACAGGGACTCAAACTAGAGACTAATTGTCGCCTCAGACTCCCCATTAAACTGGCAACTGGCTCCACTAATGCTGTAATAATACACAACTAATTCCCTGTTGGAGACACTGCCATCTGTCCTGTAAGTCCTCCCATTTGTTTGGTCGTACTGTGTTTGTCTATTAGTTTAATGCAGATTTGAGAAGAAAGATTTATACTGAATAAATTCCTAAAAGCTTACCAAGGTTTTCTCTCATTAATTCCCCCAATCTAAGTGGGCACTCAGACCTGTTGATGCTTCCCCATTTGTATCTGACAATCCCTCTCTAAGGTTTACCTGTCCAGCACAGTTGACAAAATATTCACACTCGATGGAGCCACGGTCAGTCTCTACCGCCATCACTTGACCCTTCTCTACCAGAACCTGCTGGACACTGGTTCGCTCCAGGATTTGAACCCCTGGACAGGATGAGAAAAACGAGGAGATGTAGTAGGAGGCAAAAAGGAAAAAAGTGAGGAAGACAGAAGGAGGAGATGTCAGAGAAGAGGAGAATCAGAGGGAGAAACAGTAAATGGTTATAATTAAAGGTAGAATAAAGTACTGGTTGTAAAACATTATAGTAGGATGGTCCATTAATGTTTTATCAAAGTCGAGGTTGTGAGTTTGTCTTACCATGTCCAGCTGCAGCCACAGCCAGGGCGTGGTTAAGATCAGGTGGAGACACCACAGCATCTGCAGGCAGATGAAGTGCCCCCACCAGGTCATGAATGTTAACAAGAGGGTGAAGTTTGGCCACCTCTTTAGGCTTAATGATGCTACAGCTGATCCCCATTACCCTAAGTAAAAAAAAAAATGAGATGTGATCAAGATGAACGCCTAATAGAATACATATTTCATATTTAAAGCCCTGCATCTCTAGCCTGTTTCCAGACCTCTGAATCATTTTAATATGTGAACCACAGATGTGGGCAATGTAACATCAGTATATACAATATCGTGAAAAATATTGACAACTGTTATTATGAGCTGGTAGATATGGGAGCTAAGTGCAGAGGTGATGTTCAACCAGCAATAGAATTATCCAGTCAACAAACAAAAGTAATCTGTCTTGTTGTTTTGAGCTGATTTGAGCTATGGACTTCCAGCATCATGCCACCATCAGACAAAAGTTTATGTCCTGCTGTGGCCAAGTCAGAGTCAAAGACCTCAATTAAATAAAGAATTTGTGGTTGGACTTAAAAATTAGTGTTCACTCAAAGTCCTTGTGCAACTTGACAGAGCTTGAGCAGTTTTGCAAAGAAGTGAGAAAAGTTTCTGTGTAAACCTGCCTCATCCACGAAGACTCAAATGAATAGATGCTGCCAAAGGTATCTCTCCTAAATATTGATATGAGGTTCTGGGGTCTTACTTTAGGCGAGATGCCAGGCGCTTCAGAGAGATGAAGCGATCCTGATTTTGGGCCAGACACAGAGACCCCGTCTTCACATAACCTGAAACACAAACACCCATAACCAAAGGAAAATCTTTTTGTGCAATAGGCTAACAAAGAGTCAGTACGGGATCTTTCACAGACTGCATCGCACACCCCAGCCCCTTCACTTCACTTCACTTTTCTATCCTGGGATTTCTCCCCTCTGTGTTAAATGTAAAAAAAGAAGCGGGATCTGCATTTGGCACTGCCCTCTGATATTGAATGAATTTCTGGGGAGAAGTTTCACAGGAACGTAACTCTATTTTTGATAAGGAAATACAAATGAATCCTGGTTTGTTTCTGCTGAATCGTTCAGGTTAAGAGCTTAGACAAGGGTCCAGCAAAAACTTTTAAACAAGCTTCTCCTGTTAGCAAGAAGACGCATTTTATCTCAGTGGATTAAGCCCATGACAATTTATGGCAATTCATTAGCAGGGTAATATTAGTCATATAGTAAACCTTTGTCTTCATTAACAGCAACAGTATAAGTTAAACATGAGTAAAAGAAAAACATGTCAAAGTGGCTAACCTGTTTTGACGCCAGTCTCCTCCTCCAGCTGCTGGTAAAGACTATTGGAGTAGTTTGCCATTTGACACTCAATGGAAATAGGCTTGGCCACACTGACAATTCCAGCACACAGTCTAGTTGTTCCTGCACCAAGTCTGCCAAACAAGATAACAGCACAGGCAATACAGAATTAGCACTATCCAATCGACAACTTTTTTTTTTACTGATCCTCCTCTGACTGTCTTTATTTGCTCCCCTCACAGGGATGTCACAGGTTAGGGTTGGTGACTGAGCATAAACTGCTGAGCTAGAGGGAACTCAGAGTCTTTCACAAGGCCATTTTAGCCAGTCAACACTTCACAATTCATTATGCTCCCCTACCACCTCTAAAACATTGCCAACACATAAAATAACAGACATTCATCTCACCTGCCCTGCTCTAGCAGTACTATATCAGTCCAGCCCAGTTTGGCCAGATGGTAGGCTACCGATGTCCCCACAATGCCTCCTCCACAGATCACCACACGGGCCTGACTGGGCAGTGGGAGCAGCTGGGAGTCTCCACTGACAGCCATACAGTGGGGGGAGGTCCAGAGGCTCCTGCCGGCCAGTCTATACCCCGTCTGGGGAAGCAGCAGCCTGGGCAGCAGTACAGGGGACAGAGCCCTGGAGCTCCGCACACAGCTGCACATAGCTGTGCTTTCTGCAGCCACAAATACACAAACAAACACACACACAGCCTCACATACTGGTCATGTATTAAAGAATTCAACGTTACTTTAAGGTAGGTTAAAATGTCAACAGTGCAGACGTCAATATCTAATTCCTCTAAGGTTACACGAAGATACCTTGCTGTTGCAGTTTATTATTTGATATTGTTTAACTCAACTAACGCAGCTCGGCATTTAACAGCATTACAATATTCAACACTGTGCAAAGACAAAGGGGGCCTGGGAAGCCGACATGATTAACTTACAATAGTCCTTCAGCTGTCACAATTATATTATAGCGTTAGTTACATATTAGCTTACTTGTGTTAACGTTAGCTCTAACGCATCGCTGCAGTTGTTATCCCTTTAGCAGCATAGCTAGCGTTAGCCTACAGTACGTTTTAGCACATTTGTAAACTACCCTGAACTTTACCGTAGAGGTAAACAACCTTAGCTGAGCTGTACATTAGTAAAGTGTCCTGACATTTTGTGTTTTTTAGCTCCTACTAGGGTTAAAGTTAGCGGGACTGGAAGCTAGCGTGTGTAGCTTGGGCTATCGAAGAGCTAGCTAATGTTAAATATTTAACGTTATCCCGGTAACGATAGCGAAACGTCAGCGAAACGTCAGCCGTGTTGACAAACTTTTTCCACGGGCGTTTCCTTCGTTGTTTATAACGACATAAACTCACCGAATCAGCCGAGTCCAGAGGTGATATTTAAAGGTCTGAAGTGAATACCAGACACTGAGTGATATGACAGAAAGTGGTGTTGGAGTACAGCAGTCAGTACCAAAGTCAACCCGGCTAACTTCACTCACTGCCACTTCCGGTCTAAACCTCCAAAATCAAATCCTTCAGACTAAAATGTTTTGTTGAATTAATGTGTAATTCATTTACTGGTCTATTTCAAATTAGAGCAACTACCCTGATTAACTTATATACGTTAATTTAAAGGTCATACATTGTGGGAAGTTGAATATTTTATGTCGGCTAACTAACGTCACTCAGCACTCTCCTAAAGTTGTGAATGACATTAAATAATTGTATTAACATTGTTTCTTCATCTGATTGCACTTTTATAGGTCTACTGAAGGTACCGGTCTAGAGGTCTATTTTATAGGCAGTTTTCTAAAATTCACTTTGACATATTTGCATTTTTGGGAACTTTCCTTAGAATTAAAATGATGTCTTTCTAAATAATGATGTTCTTTCATTGTAATTCTAGTTGACATTTTTTGGTTATTGGCATTTTACTGGCAGAAATTTACCTACAGACTTAATCTAGAAAACCGTTTATTTGAGTCCAACATCAACAGCCATACAACCCAGACCAATCTGAGAACAGTAGGTAGTATCCAAATGATGGCATGAGTCTTCTCCAACCTTCAAACACTTGTGTTAAAGTATCTAAACTTGGAGTTAAAGATAAGAGTTACGAGAAGAAGAATAAAGGAATCCCACACACCGTTGAATATGTAGAGTCACACAACTAATGCCATCTTTTGTCGATTGATATTTTGTATGTGTTGTGTCCTAACTTCCTTGCCTAATTGATTGAAATGGGCTATATTAGATGGTACATACACAGGTTTTGATCTAGTCTTGGTCCTTATTGGGGGACAACAGTGAATTGACTTGTTTCACACACCCAGAACTGAATTTAAATAGGTCTCCAGTGCTTTTCTTGCAGGTTGTTTGCCTCAAGGGAATTTCCTTTGAGTTAACTGGTCAAATATGGGCATGTATCAAATAATACTATCAAAGAAAATTTGGCATGCTTCAGAACAACCATGTACGTATAGGTTGGGAATAGCATGCAGTGTATTTGTAGTATATGCAGCCAAGCATAAGACTGACCACTAAGGGGCGCCAGAAGCCAGCAGACGGGCACTGCTTTTTGTCTCAGTGCTGTCTGCACCAGACAGTTGTTGTTGTGTTTCAGTGAATCTGGAATCTACAAAGATTCTCACAGAAGAAAGTCATATAGCTTGTTGTTGAAGGTAATTATATGTTATGGCATATTTGTTATAATTGTCAGACATTTTCACATTCTCAGTGGTTATTAATATGATTTTCAAAAGTGGTACAAATGTATCTTTCTTTATAAAGGGTTTATAAGTTCTAAGTAATTGCTTTATAAATAAATTGTCTAACGGTGCTCTGTAGATGCAATTATAAGTTATTTATAAGATAAAGTTTTGGTTTTATCAGTATGTGAAAACTCATTTTAGCTCTTCAGTTCATCAGGTGGACCCCTTCAATGGACCATTTGACCTCTGACCTACTAGAAAAGAGCATCTTAAATGGATCGGTAAGAACTTAATATTATTTTTAACATAGACTACTGCTGACCATTGATTTAATTGGTTATTATAAAGTGAGAAACCCATAAGGATCCATTAATGGGTTACTATCATTTAAACCTGCTTTATTACCTAATAAATCAAAGGAGTAGTCCACAACCCTAATGTTGCTCTTATCAGTGGCTTATAACTCATCTAAAGCATAGTAGTTCCAAAATATCTTAAAGTAACCCAAAAAGTAAAGGGATTAAAATAACCCACCCCATAGCTAGAACAAAACACCTCAAGACACAGAATCAGTTGCTGCATGACAAGCCACGAAGGAAATAGTAAACCATATTTATTGACATGTTTAAATTCAGCTATTTACAAGTTCTCATAGTCGGCAACAAAAACACTTCACACCATTACAGTTTGAAGAAAAAAAAGCAAATATTGTTTTTACATAAATTAACACTAGAGCCAGTCAGAGGCGATGCTCACTTGTACATCACATCCGTTTGACAGACAGATCAGTAGCATATTGATGTTGAGTGCTGTGTCTTTCTCTTCGCCATTGCACCAGATTGAAGGAGAGCTGTTTTCATTAAACCTGCCATAGTAGCCCTGTCTCAGATGTGTTTTGGCACAGTGACAAATCAATGACTTTTAGCTGTGTTTTTGCATGTTTCATTTATTTACCACAAATCACATACAGTATACTTTACATTACTGCTGACATTACCCTAACCATAATGCCAAAACATGAAAAACACTGGTTTTGTCCTTTAAAAGAGACTGAGTTATGGATTTTGCCACAAGATGGTACTATAATAAAGAGAGTGTTCATACTAGACTTGACAACAGAGGTTCTTACACATTTTCAACAGTAAGGACACCCCCTCACCCCCTGCACAGGAATTAATCAGGTAAAATGTAATAACAATATAATACTGGGGATCAGAAACTGAATCATTATGCCAACTTTTATCTAAAGGTCAGTAAAAGAAAATGCTAAATTTTACTGCAAATCACTGCAGGACTACCGGGAATCCCCAAAGTGAGAGCTTTATTCAAAGCTCCTAAGGATAAGGGCTTGGGGAGCTAATCAAATGAAACATGATTGTTTAACTGGTACCCACAAGGGACACCGAATAGGAGGTCTTAATGACTCAGAGTGCCCTGAGCTGGACATGGGGCCTGGAAGATGCCAGGGAATTATAGAGTCTCACAGCTCAGAGAAAGCAGTTTCTAAAGGGCCCAAAACTTCTACCACTGGAGGGTTAAACTGGTCAAGTATGGAGGTCTGATAACTAAAGGTAAAATGTTTGCATCATAATTGAAGGGACAGAAAACAAAATAAACAATTCTTATGTCTTGAGACTAAGAGGACTCTAGTTTACGGGCTTAGTTTTACTTTTGAATCTATATTGACTTATTGAATCTTCACTTCGATTCAGTAGAAGAACTTTGGTGACACCAGTTAAGGTTTGACATGTTGGTGATTGAGATACAAAACAAGACCAGTGAAAATACATCAGGAAATAGTTTGATGTCAGTGGCTCAAAGGTGCACTCTGCTAAACTTCGTTCTGTTGGGTGAGGTCCTCTGACATGCTGTTGAACTCAGTGGCCCGAGAACTCATCCCCAGGTACTGCTTCAGGAACTCACTGAAACGTTTTTGGTTGTTCCACTTACGAGCTGACTTCCGAATGCCGATGAAGCCACCATACCTCTTCTGGTAAGATCTTCCTGGAGACATCAGCTTCCTGTAGCCGTGCCTCCCTTTGACGAAGCCGCCAAACCTCTTGGAGACACTTAGCCCCACATCACCCTGTCCTCTTGCTGCCACGTCAGCAGCCCCTTCTTCCTGCCCTGCCTCTTCCTCATACTCATCCTCAAGAGATAGGTCGTCCTGGGAATTGTAGGCAGTGTTCAGCTGGCTGCCCTTGCCACTCAGATCCCTCTCGCCCACCCCGAGTGCCCGGGCCACGTGATCGAACCTCTGCAATGCAATGGGCAGCAACAGACCTCCATCTACCTGCTCCTCCTCCACAGGAAACAGGGCCTCCACTTCCTCCTGAGATCTTTTCCGCACAGTACCGCTAAGGGAGGAAGCTGGCAATGACAGCACCTTACGACATAAGTCCCGGTAGAAGGATGGGGAGACGTTGTCCTCGCACTCAGTGAGACACACCTGAAAGAGAGAAAGACCTGAGGTCGTCATTTTCATTTTCTTTCTAAAGTCAGTTCAGGTCGGTTCATTAATATGATAAAAATGAGTGTGGGCAGTTTTTAGCCTATCTCTAGGGATGGCAGTGTAGGTCTGTCAGGTGGTTTGTTAGTCATTCCACTGCTATGATCAGAATGCATGGTTTAACCACTATTGGATGGATTGCCATGCAGTTTGCACACATATTCATGTTCCCCTCCAGATGAATTGTAATGAATTTGGTCATCCCTTAACTTTTCATCTAGCGGCTCCACCAGGTAGAAAGTTCAACATGCTAAATAAAGATGGAGAACATTAACAATGTCATTGTGAGCATGTTAGCATGCCAATGTTAGTATTTAGCTGAAAGTACAGCATTCCTAATGTAGCTGTAGCCTTGTTACTACATTAGATTTACCTTTGGTAGCTGAAATCCATGAAAACTTGATGTGGGAATTACTCTGAGTAAGTGGGAGGTTGTTTTTTTAATGCTTTTTTGACCACAAATGAAACTGTATTGACAGAGAGCAGATATTTCAAAACCTTGGCAAATCAAACAGAAGCTACCGGCATGGCATTACTGTCATAGGAAAGATTGTGTATAAAACAGGATTTATCTGAAAAATTTGCATGTTATAGTATCACTCAAAGCATCTGATTTGCTGGGGTTGTTTTTTTTTTTTTATATATACAAAAATCAATATGACAGAAGGAGATTGATTGGATTTCTTGCACGTTTATCACCTCTATATCTTCCACTTCAATGGTTCAATAGGCACGCATGCATGCGTGTGTGTGTGTGTGTGTGTGTGTGTGTATGTGTGTGTGTGTGTTATTATGTGGGGGAAAGTATGTCAGAATAAGACTCAAGATTGTAACTATACATTATATACCATATTGCTTTGAGTGTATCATCTACTGTTTCCATGAAGCAGACTAATCATGGATGCTCTGGTCCCTTATTGATTTACAAGTAAAAACATCTTTCAGCCAGGAGAGAAGGAGAAGGAAAGGAGAAAAGCAAATGAGACATGGATTCTAAATATGGGGAGTCAATCAGTAGATGGTATGTGGTAAGGTGCATTATAAGACAACAGTCTATAAGCAGGCCTGCGTCATACAAGGCAACAACTGCCCAATTCAGTAGGCTCACTTGAGGTCCTTTTAAATACGAAGTGCTTAATACTAACAACACTAAAAGTTCACTAAAATAAATTTTAGTGTGTTCCCTGGTAAAATGTCTGAGACCCAGACATGTCATTAACCAGAGAGAAACAACCACCAGGCATGAGCACTGAGAGGAGAAACACACATCTGTCCCCAGGAATCAATTAGCCACAACAAATTAAAACTCAAACGGCAAAAGGGTAATTTGTTGAGTCATAGAAAGTGAAGAAGAGTGAGGGAGGACAGGATGAATACAGGAAGGTGGGATGATGGGTTTCTTAAATGAAGGGAGCCCTGTGGAGAGTATGAGTGTGTAGTCTGGATGATTTGCAAAATAATAGCCTGTACTCACTTTATTTCACTCATAACTTTGTTAAATTTCCCACTTGTAACATAACAACTGAAACCTGCTATTGAACCTTTTTTCATAATAGGTGTGTGTCACTGACACAAAAACGGTCCAATAAAGGGAAAAGAACAACATATAATCTTTATTGTTTGATGAGTCAGATTATATACATTTGTTTAAATTTGTTTGGGTGCGTGTGTGTGTGTGTGTGTGTGTGTGTGTGTGTGTGTGTGTGTGTGTACTCCTCACCATGGTGTTGAAACTGAGCTGTTTGGGCAGGATGTTGCTGCAGGACAGGCAGTCTGCCTGGCAGTCACTCTGTCCAGGCTCACACAGACAGAGCAGCAGCAGAGCCACCACAGTCTTCATGGTCCCACCGTCTGCTGCACAACACAGGAACAAAACAAATACACATGTTCACGTTCAATCCAACAATTTGATACATCCTACTCATCGCACAATTTCTCTGTCCTTCCTGTAATGCGGTGGTGTCTGACTTGGCTGTCTAAGTTTTCACAAAGCACTGATGCAGGTTATTGGGTCAACATGTATTAAAGGTCTTAAAGGACCAGTGTGTAGGATTTAGTGGCATCTATCCATAAAAAGGATCCCTGACATGTAAAGTAAATTGTTCACCTAGTGAGGATCTTCCTTTGTCTTTTAACATACATGTAACCAAGTCATACGAGTATGAGTCAAATTAGCATTGTGTTTAGAGATAGCTTAGTACCAGGACAAAACAGCAGCTCTTCACTGAACGAAACTGTTTTGTGTCTTCTACCAGTACATCCAAAATCACAAGTAGTTTCATACAAAGTAACATGTGTAAATGTGTGAGGGATAACCCTCTAAGATGCTACATGCAGTCATTTGGCACAGTTGGGCAGTAACAAGCAGAATGGTTGCTCATTGAGCCTCTCATTTTCCATTTCTACGATGTGTAAATTAGACACATTATTACATGAACTAACCTTTGCACTTAGGTCTTTGTGCTAAGCTAACATCTTCTCAAGCTACTTTTAAATTGAACGCAAACTGCAATAGACTATATCCATCACAGTAGGAAAAGCACGGGTGTAACTGATAATATTAAAAACAGCTGCATTCCATTTAGCTACCTGTCATGGCTTACAGATTTTGTTTCACCTGTGTTTTTCCTGCTATGACGAATCAAAATGTCTGTTGTGAAAAAGGTCTGTTGATATGACTCTTTTCATCTTTCTAAGAAAGTAGCATTTCCCTAATGGGGGAGTATTCTTTTAATGTTTGTTGCATTTGAATTTGCCATTTAAGACGCAGAAGCATAATGTGCTGCTAGTGGTAAGAACTAATTGTTTTTTAATTATTATTCATACTATTTATTTAACTCATTGTCTTAATCTAAATTCATGTACATGTATAATGCTCATTAGATTACCTTAGTGAACAGATGCAGAGATGTTATGACAATGTCAACACAATATTTTAGTTTTATTTTCTTCTCCATATTGAATGCAAATGGGGGGAAACAGGCAAACCAATAAAAGGGTTAGTTGTCTGCTACTGTGGGAAATGGGAATTCATTATTACAAGAACTGTGCCCAATTGCTTATTAATATGTCATATTATATATGAGCAAGGTGAGTGATCTGCATTTACGGAGGTCTCACACTTTAGTGGGAAGAGGATGATAAAAATGAATGAGTTGAAGGGGACAGGAAGTTAGACTTAGGGACAGACAGGGGAATATAAAATGTGACAAAGAAAGACTTGGAGAATGAAAAAAGAGCGAAAGAAAATTGTTTGACCTTATTCTGGTAGGAATAGCCCAGACTGGTGTGTCTGACGTCAGAAACACAACCAAGAGTTTTCATCTCATTAAACAAACTCGTTAACTCCTTTAATTGATGCCTCAATTAAAGCCTCTGGCAACAAACTGAGTCACTGTTTGTTGCTGACAAACACACACGCTCAGACTCACATGCACAAAGCATTCAGACACACAAACCTACGCAGCATGCTAACACACATACATACAGATACATGCATTCTCACACATGCAAATGTACACACTGCTCATGCCCATTATACGGTACATTGGTAGACTGATACAAATTCAGACACACAAACACACAATACCACACAACTCTTTCAGGTTGTCATTATCTATAAATTGACATGGCAGAAAGTAAAACTAATTTTCAATCAAAAACTACCTCATAATATCTCCGAAACGTGGAATTTATTCAAAGTAATTAAAAACTGATAAAAGTGTAATTGCACTAAAGCTCTTTCCAATCTCTAACTACCCATAAAACAGCAGCTCTGCTAAATTAATCAGTCTTCTAGTGTGCAAATACTGTGTGTGTGTGTCTGTCTTCAGTCTGATAGGAAAGAGGGTGGGTCCGTCAGTGAAGGACAAAAGAGCAGCACAGCCATTTTAGGCGGGAATATTGTGGGACAGCTAAGGGCAGGTCTAGGTTGGCAGATGGCAGTGGATTTAGACAAACAGCTTGGGTGTGTTCATTTGGCCAAAATGCATCTCACTCTCCATCCTCCTGTCACTGTCTTCATGCTGAATTGGTTTCCGAAAATTAGGTGCCATCATTAAGGATAATGCATGAAGGATACATCACATCTTTTCATCTCTCTTACAGTATCTTCTGAAGTGTGACCAGAGGATGCACAAACATGTGTTGTATCCTTACCACAATACAAGTAGAATACATGCTAACCTTCATCAAACTTTATGTGAAACCATTGCGTTATAAGTCCTCCGACAAAAAGTCTACAGTCGTGCAGCACTGCTCATCCCAAGGGAGACATGATCAAATTTTATGTCAATCCATCCAATAGTTGTTGCGACATTTCACTCAAAAAGTAGAAAAGGCCTGGGAATCACCAAAGTCATTGTGATTCATCATCTGGGGACCATGGATGTCTGTACCAAAATGTATGGCAAACCATCCAATAGCTGTGGACATATTTCATTCCCCAGAGTAATGCCGGTAGCGTTGCTAAAAATCAGAGAGATTGAGGGCTAGCACTAAGTTTTGTTGAGTGTCACATTAGATGTTTATATTGTACTCTTACTGCGAGGGTTCAGACAGGGCAGGACAATTCTCTACCCCTGTGAGGATGACTTTTTTCATAAAAGCCTAATCTTAACTTGGTGAAACATGAATAAACATGAACCACAGAATATGTTTTGACAGCTGTCCTTGGAGGTTTAAGGAGCAGTCTGAATTCTGCTTGAGGGTGAATGCAGTCAGCGGTCAACTATTGAGGCCAATAGTTGGCAGTTCCTAATTCTTTCTTCCCTGCTGAAAACAATTTAGTTCTGGTTTCAACGAAGTACATACCAACCCAGAATGCCAACACGTTAGCTGGGCTGCAGTCACTCAGAACATTACAGATTATGTGCACACACACACACACACACACACACACACACACACGCACTCCACTGAATGTAGTCTTTATCTGTTTTCTCTCGTCTATAAAGGATTCTGTGTTGTTAAAAGCCCTGTAAAATGAATTGACCTCTCAACTGACGTCTGCCAGGTTCTCTCGAGAGCCCTTAAAACCCAATCACTCTGCTTTTAATTAACTGATTAACCACTAAATAAACCAGTTAATTAAGTCATTACTGTCTGGTGCTGCGCCGAGGCACTGCAGATTGAGGTCTTACAGTCCAGTAGATGATGAATAAAGACCATCTTTCAGATGGAAGAAAAACCTGTCCATAGATTATCTCTCAGTAGTGTCCGGCTCAACCTGTTAGCATGATGTTGTGCCATGTAAAAACAAGTTGCAATTCCAGGTTACCAAAGGAGCAGTGAACACGAAAAAGCTATAATATGTGATGTCGATCATATTTTGTAAAACATAACTAGAATTCAGACAAACGATAACTGAAATGACAATAAGTGGAAACATCAGCACAGGATCAGTAGTCTGTCTCCATATATCTGTGTGTAAACTGTACGTAAGTTCAGCAAGCTTTGCCTAGTTAAATGGAAAAGGTAAACATTGTGAGTCCCATGATTCAAAAGTATGCTTAGTAAGAAGCCTCGTCATCACACAACTCACGACTCACTCTCAGGACAAACTCAACCTGTGTGTCACACTGCGTTATCAACTGTTTCCACCATTATTTCCCTCCATTACGACCATTTTCTCATCAAGAGCAGGAAGTACAAAATAAATTACTCCCATCCCAAAGAGCGTCTTAAAGCCGGATTATTCACGCGTGGTTGAACGACGGAGCAGTGTGCATCCGTCTTGCTCTTCTTTATTTTTAAAAGCTGAACTGCAGATTATTACATAACTTAAATGTAATAACCACAATATTGACACATTCACGTCAGCACACTATGTGCCTGCCCTGTAACTTTTTCTCACTTGGGTGGTTTCTATATAATTCAGACATTTGGACAGTTATGCCTATGCAAGACCAGCAAAAAAAACAGAAATTGCTTTTTTAAATGAAAATGTTCAGTCCAGTGACGTTTGATTGCCTTATGACCACTGCAATTGACAGACAAGTGCCTAATTTGTTTTCTGTGGAATGGGATCAATTTATAAATCGGGGTCTTTCATGTATCAAGTTTAATCTTAATCTAGTTTTAGCGTAGTTCAAACCTAACCGATATCAATATGCAAATTAAGTATTTATTCATATCTTTTAAACACAATTGTTACTTTCCTTTATTGACTTTTAATATGTTGGAAACGTGACAGCATCTGAAAATTAGAGCAATGAAATATTAAGTGATATGATTGATGATAAGATTTTAAGATTTTCTTAAATAGTAATAAAAAATGACATAACATGGCATAACATCATGCATAAACTGCAGCTTTAAATGTGATAGCTTTAAATTAAACTAAAGAACAGTAACATCCACCCTTAAAGGAGGAAGGAGCAGCAGCATATTAAAGAAACAAATATTGAATAATTAGAGCGTATTCATGATGTTGGCTTTGATCGTTGTCAGTTTGACAGGTAATTAAATGTTATTTAGTGTTCCACATGGCAGAGTACTTTATCTGTCAGAAAAGTCACTTTGACTGACAGCTTGTCCAAGGCCCACTCTAAATACAGTACACTCTTTGTTTTAATATTGATCGCTAACTGGCAGAGTGGTCATTGATGTAACTCATTTCAGGACAGTAAAGATCTATACTATGAATCAGGTTGATTAAAAATGTCCAATATATATATATTAATTGTCTCCGTTGCTACCTACATACACTACCTGCTGATTTAACCGTCGTTACCTCTCTCCTCCTCTGACACCATCATTTGCTTTCTGCCTTTAAGTCTCATTCTCACCCACTCATGCTCACTTCTCGCCCCCTTCCTCTGTCATACACTTTGTCACTTTCACTCTTTGTCTTT